TTTTAAACAGAATTCTGTCATCTACAGTTTAAATCTATTGTGAGGCTCTGGATAGGTTCAAACTCCTCACTAAAATTCATGCTACAATACTTTTTTGAATGAAAAGAAGAGAGAGAAATAATTTTTTTGTATGATAAATATGAATTGAACATATAAACAATAAAAGAATGTAAATCCTAAGATCAACCATCACCAGTTGGGATCAAATTAAATGCTAACTTTGACCTCTCCCATGATCTGGGTTGAAATCTCTAGCAGTTACAAGTAGCAATGGGTGAGGGACCACTTAGAAAGTGAGAACAAAGAAAAGCAACCAATCAGAATGTGTAACAGGGTCAAAAAATAATAAAAACACTAAATATATTGGTATGGTTATAGATATAATTATTTTGTATCAGAAAATCATTTTTCATAGTAAACAATTTTTTTATGTAGTGAGATCTTTTATGAATAGTAAATTTAAAACTATAAAGTTAGTTATAATTATATATATTTATAGTTATAATCAAATACATATACAGTATTTCAAAAATTAAATATATATGTTTTGATAATGATTGAATGTTTTTAATAACAAATTGTTAAAAGGAATCAGTAAACTCAAATTAAAATAGAAAAGTTCCACAACTTTATGAAAAGTAATTTAACAGTTTTAATTAGCTGATTTAATTAACATTAGCAAAGATATGAATTTGAACAGAATATACTGTAATATTTTCTAATATTTAATGAATGATGGAATAAAATTATAACCCTAAGTTATGAAATAACCACATTATTATCATTATTTAGTAGTATTTATTACTGAAAATTTAATAAATTTTGTATTTCTAATTTTATCTTAATAATTTATATAGTAGAAAATAAATGTTTCTCATTTACAGGCTAAAGATAGCATAAGTTTGGAAACTAAAGCCAAAATTCCTCTAATAAATCATAAAGATTTTAATTTTACAGCATTTCTGTTTTCAATATCATTTATTGGAAAGAAAATATAGTTACTTTTTATAAGAATAAATAATTTCATAAAAGGATGAAAGAATTCTATAACATTAAAGATAAAATATTGAAGCTAAATAAGTGTCAAAATTACAGAAAAACTGTTTTGAGTTTTTTTAAGAATGCTGTAGCCATTACATTTCCATTACACTTGTGTTTAATTTTTCTTCATTAAGATGAATGTGTAGTTTATAACCACTGGAAGAAGCAGAAAAACTAGGAATGAATGAAATCAAGGCATCAGATGGTTATGGCAGTTTAAGAAGAGGTGGAATCTGACATCATTAAAGACAGTTGGGAAGGTAGATGGAGTGGACCCTGAAGTAGAAAACAATTGGACTTTGAAACTTCCAGAATTAACACATGGTTATGAAGCAAGAAACATTTTCAATGCTAATGAGGCAGGACTATTTTTTCAATATGCTCCCTGATAGAACACTAGCACTTAAAGAGGAAGCTTGCCATGGTGGAAAGCACAGCAAAGAATGCTGAACAGTACTTTTTTATATAAACAGTGATGGGTCTGAAAAACTTTTACCATTTGTGATAGGTAAATATGCCAAGCCAAGATACTTCAAAAATGTAAAATATCTGCCATCTACATACAGTGCTAGGTCATGGATGACAGCTTCACTTTTCAGGGAGTGGCTATTAGTACTTGATTCTAAAATGGTGACCAAGGACAAAAGAATCCTGCTGTTCATTGATTGTTGCAAGGCCCATAAAATGAATGATTTGAAACTGAAAAACATTAAAGTGATCTTTCTTTTGTTCCAAGCTTCAGCCAGTGGATCAAAGTGTGATTGCCTTACTGAAGAACTGTTACAGACAACAGCTTGTTTAACATATGGTTTGTCAAATGGAAGATGGAAATAAACTGGCATTAGTAAAATGGAAAGTTTTGCAGGACATGCAGCAATTGTGTTCAGTTTGGAACAGCATTGAAGCAGCCACTATTAAAAGCTGTTTCAAAAAAGCTGGTTTTTCAGTTCAAGGTGGAATTAAGGAAAATTATGAAAACATTAATAATGACTTTATCAGTGACAGGGCAGAAGTAACTAACATGTTATATTTGGAAGATATGACATTTGATGATTTTGTTCAAATTGATGACAGTTGTGTTGTACCATCAGAAGATGACAGCTGAATATTGAGATGCATTATCTCAAGTTGAAGATACTGTGGAAGAGGAAAATGAGGAGGCTCTGCCAGTAAAGCTACTGAAAAGGTCTGAGGTAAATGCCACCCTTAATACATTAGAGATGCTCATCCAAGCATCAGAATCAGCAGATAGATATAAAAATATTTCTTGAAATGGAATCAGTGGCATTTAAATTACTTAAAAAGCAAGAAAGGCAAGCAAATATTACTGAGTTTTTTGCCAAGAGTTCATAATGAAGTGTACAGTACAACATTCAGATCATATATCTAAAGCTCCACAGCTTTCCTTTATATAATTTCGCATATATTGTAGCATGTTTTATTATGTTTAAAATATTTTCTTTTGTTCTTGTTTTTTAAGTTTTGTATAGGTTTATTTAACTTAAATTTTATGTATGTTCTGCAATATTCTGTTTATTTTTGTTCTAACTTAAAATTTAATAAAATTTCTAAATCCTAAATGAAGAAATCCTAATTTAAAACTCAAGAATTTGATCCCCTGAAATTTGTTAAGTAGGACTTTTCCTGTGTATATTTTTTTAATTGGTTTATCATTAGTGAATGTTTTAACTGTTTTACATAATTTTTGTAGAGGCATAGCCTCTAATAAAAGGTCATCTCTATAAAGAAAGATTGTTTTTATTCCTGATGATTAGACTTAATGGAAGACAACTTAAGTTTCTTTAAATTTTTACTATTTTTAAAAGATCTTATGTTAATTCTTAGAAAAAAAATTAATGAAATACTACACAAAATAAACAGTAAAGTATATTTTGTTGGTTTGTAAAAAATGTTTATTACAAAATCTGACTTTAATTTTCTTTTTTGTACAAATGTTTGAGGTCCCTTGAAAGTCTAAGCTTTTTTCTTGTAAATCCAGCCCTGATGGGACAATGTCAAAGTTGATGTTTTTTAACATGAAGGGCACAAATATGTATAGAACGATCNAAATTCCGATGGTCCATAAAACAAAGACAAGTGTAAACAACAAAATGAATTTATTACCAAAAGCTAGGTACAAGCATTGTTAGTTTTTGACATAATTACCGTGAAGATTGAGGCATTTTTCATATCTGTGGATGAGTTTTTCCATCCCCTTGTCATAGATTGTTGCCACCAATGAATTGAGATGGCCTTAACAATATTGTTTTGAAGATTGTCATTAATTCATTAGTCTCAAACCACTGCCCTGCTAGCCACGTTTTCAGTTCAGGAAAGAGGTGGACGTCTTCAACACCTTTAAACACCCAGTGTATAGCCCTGATTTAGCACCAAGAGACTTCCACCTCTTTCCTGAACAGAAAAAGTGGCTAAGAGGGCAGAGGCTTGAGACTAATGACGATCTTCAAAACAACGTTAGGGTCCATCTCGAGTCTTTGGCGGAAACATTCTATGACAAGGGAATGAAAAGCTTGTCCACAGATATAACAAATTTCTCAATCTTCACGGTGATTATGTTGAAAAGTAATCATGTCTGTACCTAACTTTTGATAATAAATTCATTGTGTTATTTACACTTGTCTTTTTTTTTTTTTTGTGGACCATCGGAGCTTGAAAAACAGCCTACATATAAAAGTATTTGGGTAAATGCCCAGAGCTCCTTTTAGCGTTCAGAGTAGGATACCCCTATAAGTGCCTCTTCCCCCATAAAATGACTTGGTATTTAATTTTGCCAGAGTCGGAGTCAGCCTACTAAAATTATCAGGAGTAGGAGTCGAGTGTTTTTTTACTGTCTCCACAGCCCTGACTATAATAGTAATAAATTCTTAGAAATAGTTATTAAAGAATATAATAAGTAAACTAAAGAAACTGTTTAAAAAAATGATTCTGTAATTAAATAATTATTGCCAGATTTGTGATGTCCTTTTAAAAGAAGGTAATTTTTATTTTAGTTTGTTTACAATATATATGAAGAGTGTAGTTTAAAAAATGGCTAAATCCATCTTTTAAAAAAATTAGTTAATCACTTTATCTTATATGTTTTCCTGCTCTTATCAATGATGATTGTTATAAATTTTTAAACTAGTAGCCATAAACAAAGAAAAGAGATTAAAGGGGAGATGAAAAATGGAGGTTTCAAAATCAGCCACATTCACAGTCCTTGCTTATGTTCCAGAGAGAGAAAAAGTGGATTTGGCCATTTTTGAAACTATGTCTAATATATAAATATAAATGTAAATATCTCATTATGAATTGCTCTGCATGAAAATTGAGAAGCTATAAATGAGAATACATAATAATGTAAAATTACCAAGTATGTTTGTTACTGTATGAAATGGAGATTATCAAATTTGATTGTTTTGTCCATGATTTCTGAAATTTTCAATTACCTTTTAATAAATTTCATAATTAATGCTGTAATCATGTAATATAATAATATTATATAAATATATTATTAATTAATATAATATAATAATTAATCATGTAATACTTGTTTGTTATAATTTTCATTATTAGTTTTATATATGCAATCTTCACATATCATTCAGTAACAAGCAATAAAATTACATATTTAATTCAAACAAGGTTAAATGCTAGTCTCATTATTGCAGTTTGTTTTAATAATGTCATGCTTGGTAGATTATTTTCGATTTGTTTTCTGTTATTAGCTGTATTATTAGATGAGATTTCTAAAAGGAATATAAATATACTCCAGTTTTTGTAGATGATAAAAAGATTTATGAGGAACAAATGCTTTTGTTTGTATTGATTGTTGTTACGTCTGTTTTTTTTTTCATTAAATACTAGTCCTTCTGAACTGTTCAGAAATATAGCTTATTGTTATAGCTGCAGATTAAGTATGTATGGAGATGAAATTCTCATTGTTGTTGATGCTAAAATTCTGCATCTCTTTGCAGTTTGCACCCTCTGGTAGACGGCGAATAAACTGATTCTTACCATTTCTTTGGTTACCAATGATGAATTCTTGAATATACTATCCATTTCATGGTAAGATTGAAGTAATGTAATGGTGAAAATATTTTCAAAACTCAAGTTTTTATAGCATTTTGTATTGAAAGCATTTTAGGAAATTCGATTTAGATTTCATGAATGAATTTTACAATTTTATATAATTTTATTTTTCTTTTTGTAATTAACTCTGTATTCTTTTTACCTTTTATTATTCATATTGAAATATTTTATATTGGCTTAGCTAATGTTTAGAAGGAAAAAATACAAATAACATAATAGCTAGTTTTTATTATGAACTTTCAAATAAAAAAATCTTAGATTTATGTGACTTGTTTAATTATGTAACTTTATCACAATTAATGTCAGCTACGAAATTAACATTTTAGATTATAGGAAAAGCTATCAAAGCAGAAGCTAACAAACTCTAGCCTATTTATAATCTTTGTATTAGCATTTAAAAGCTTGTGTTATCTTATTTTACAATCTTATTTTAGAACTTCGTTTTCTAATAAATTTTCCAAGATAATTATTAATAAATTGATATTCTTATAGATAATTCTGTACTGTAAAGTAGGGCAAATAGAAACAAAACTTCAAGAAAATTTTGTACACTTCTGACAATAGAAACTAATCAACAAATCAGAAATTTCTCTATGCTGTCTTCTTGGACATTGTTTTGGTAGGCTGGCGACACTCTTCTAGATGCTAAGTCTATTTGCATGTTATGATAGTTGGATATGTGTTTTTGATGTCATATTAAAAACTTGCTTATTAAAATTTTGTTAGAATTTCCTAATATCATTTCATTAAATTTTTATTGAAATGACTCATATTTTGAATTCTTTTTTATATAATTATTGATTTTGTTTTTGTGATGTCATTCATTCAAATTCATAGGGTGAATAGAAACACAATGAAAATGGCTATTTCTATTCATCCCATTCAACTTTTTTCAATAGCAGTGGTTTAAAATTTGAAGAAGTCTTAAGACAGTGTTTCCCAACCTTTTTTGTGCTATACACCACCTAAGCCTTTCTAAAATTCTTATGCCCTCATAACATATACAGTGGCTATACAGTTAACTTAAACTCTGGATGAGTCCATTTTTGAATTGCCCCCTTAACAATCCAATTGCCCCCCTGTGGGGCATGGACCCCACATTGGGAAACACTGTCTGAAGACCTAGTTCTGAAACAGCTAAATAGATCTATTTATGTTTCTATATTGATCTTGATTTATTTTAATGAGGACACTTTTCTTAAACTTGTTGACTTCTCTGTAGTGAAGGTATATGGAAAGTAAAAGGACTCCAGCAGATTATATTTTGCCATAGTCTGTCAAATTGAAAAAAATATATGGCACAGATGATGAGATTTTTGGAGATGTGAGGAATTTTATACTGTACATATTGGAATTATGATAGGAAATCTCTGCTCCATTTACAGCTCTTTAATATACTTCAAAAACATGATAAGTTTTTCTGATGACTTCAGTGACTTGATTAAAGCTTTTCCATTTTTATTTAGGAAATCAGTAAAACTGATTATCTAAATAAAAAGCTTTTGCTCGCGTTTTTGAGTAATCAGTTTTACTGACCAAAAACGTGAGCTGTTTTCTTTCTAATGTGTATAATATAAGACCAAGATAACAAATAGTTTTTGCGAAGAAAAATCATTTTTCAATTCTGTAGTTGTACGAGGGTAGTCCCAGAAGTACCCAACCTAACAAAGAAGACAGAAAAAAATTTGGTGAAACAGATCTTTATTTTTCAACATAGTCTCCTTTTAGCTTGATACACTTTTTCCAGCAATGTACAATAGCTTCGATCCCTTGTTTACAGTGANTCTATACTAATATTATAAAGAGGTAATGCTTGTAAGTATGTAAGTTTGTATGCAGCAGGTAATCTCCAAAACTACTACTCTGATTTCAAAAATTGTTTCACCAATATTTAGAATGGAACTTCAGGGTGGACATAAGCTGTATATTATTCTGTTAAACATTCATATAAATTAAAAGATATAATCTAGGTTAAGGCTTTTATGTCCAACAGATGGTGCTACGAGTACGACGCCCTAAGTTTGCTTTTCTGTAAAAATGAACTAAAGCAGATTATCTTCTATCTATTTATATAAATAAAAATGTAATGTTCGTTTGTTCCTACCGATTTCTTTGAAATTTTGACACAACGCTGCATTCGAATATGCACGTATTTTTATATAATATACATGTCAAAATTCAACCCCACTGAAGGGAGATGGTTAGGATTAAGGCTTATGGTAAAGAACTCTGCTTCTGTTTATACTATTTTAGATGTGGGTTTTTGCGTTTTTGATTGCATTTTAATAGGGTACGTCAACAGAATGTACACTAAGAAGAAATTTTTCGATATTCCCCCTGCGGGGGAGAGAGACAGGATTAAGGCTTACCGTGAAGAACTTGGCTTCTATGATACTATTTTAGATGTGGGGTTTTGCGTTTTTGATTGCGTTTTAATAGGGTACATCAAGAGAATGTACACTAAGAAGAAATTTTTTGATATTCCCCCTGTGGCGGAGAAAGACAGGATTAAGGCTTACCGTGAAGAACTTGTCTTCTATGATACTATTTTAGATGCGGGTTTTTGTGTTTTTGATTGCGTTTTAATATGGTATGTCAAGAGAATGTAAACTAAGAAGAAATTTTTCGAAAAATTTCCTCTCCCACAGGGGAAGTGTTATAAATTTATAATAGATACATTCTGCTAGTACAGTGGTACCTCAGGATACGAAATTAATCCGTTCCGAAACTGAGATCGTATCATGAAAATGTCGTAAGGTGGATCATCTTTTCCCATACGATTACATGTAAAACCAAATAATTCGTTCCAACGCGAAAAACATACTCAAATTAAAGCCAAGTAATACATTTAAAAAAATAACTGTAGTAAGAAAAACAAATGAAAAATGCGAACTAATGTAACATCGTATGGTGAGTTTTTGTTCGTATCGTGGAGCAAAAATATGTTTGAATTTCATGTCGTATCCTGAAAATTTCGTATGCTGGGGCGTTCGTAACCTGAGGTACCACTGTATATTATATGTTAAAAATTAGATTTTTTTTAATCTAAAAATTTATATTTATGAGAAAGAATTCTTGATTTTTGATGTTTCAATATTAGTTTTCTTGAGAAAACTTTACAATGTAATTACTTTCTTTTAATTTGTATTTCCATTTTATTAGTTTTATTAATTTTATAAAACCTTTTATTTACTTTATCATTGTACTACATATTTTTTATTAGCTATTTTATGCTTTAATATCTCATCTTTATCTTTTTTTTTAAATGTTTGTTATAATTTAATTGGTGGTAGAAATAATGAAGATAAGATATTAAACTTTATATATAAAGATCAACTCACAAGCCTGATTTATAGTTAAAACCAAACAAATGCCAAATAAAAAAAATTGGGTTTGAGTTGATGTTTGCTTGTTTGTTTGTTTTGTGTGTGTATTTTAATGGATCACTTTCTCCACCAAAAATTATCTGTTGTCTCAGAATTTACTACATCGTAAAAAATGGCTTTCCCACATACCCAGGAAAATATTCGTTATTCAAAATAGTTTTCATTTTTTTAACCCTCTATATATAAGAAATATCTGTACGTGAAATTATTCAGTCTCTTGAGATCTTTACTCTGTAGAAACGTGTATTACAAGATTTACAAGATCATATATTATGCTGTACAGTTGTACATCAAAGCTGATGGAAACTGTATATATTTGTAATCACAAAAAGAGAGAAATTACATATGCTTATTAGCACTTCAATTGACTTCACAATTTGTTTAAAAAATAAAATCGTCCATCTTGGTTGGTTTTGACGTTGCTTTTCTGTCTATTGAATAGCCTACAACTACTTCATATTAGCAATATCATGTACAGCCTGTTTGTTTATGCTGAAATTTGTCAGATCTTCACGACTTGGAAAGACTCAGTAGTCTGTCTAAATTTTAACTCTACACTTGGACCAGTGTCAGAATGTTCACTAGGTGGCTCTTCAATTATATCATCTTGTTGACTCCTTTTGTACAGTTCTTTACTGTACATATCCCACATGTAACAAGTGCATCATCGAACTTTACAAATTCCCAGAAGCACCCAAATATTAACTAAATATTGAAAAAATGTAAAGTTTATGATTGATAAGGCTACAAAAAATTTGTTGTTCTGAGTTATAGATCTGCTAAAAGGAGGTAAAATTACATTGACTTGGCGGGGCCTGGGAAAATAATCCATTGTTCCGCATTCTGTTAAAATGAGATTCTACTGTGTGTGTGTGTGTTTGTATTATGTATGTACATAAGTACACACCATGCTGGGTAAAAGCAATAGCTGGTTGAGTGCTGTGGAGGAAGGCATTGTGTCCTTAAGTTGTCCTCATTTAGCACTGTGAGTGACATTATATCTTAATTGATAGTTCAGGAATCAAAAATTGTTGAGGTCTAGGTAGCATAACTGGCAATGCATCTGCATGGTAGGTGAGAGATGTAGATTCGAGTCCTGCTCCAGGTCAATTAAACTTTATCTTTAATTTCTCTTCTTTGTATTTCATCAATAAAGAATTTGCTTTCTTTAACAATGATTGGATATATTCCAATATCAGTCTTTTGTGAAAGGCAGTAAAAATGAAAAGCAGCGATGACTGATGGCATTCTTACTGAATGTGATTAGCTTTTGATGCTTTGAAAATATATTTTGTATAAACATATTATTTCTTCTTATTTTATTCATTTCAAATTAGGAAAACAGTTTTCTTAAATCTTTATATTAATTAATTCCAATAATCTTATTAAAAAATTAAATCATCATGTGTATGTGTCATTCTGTATATTTATCTTTAAGTTTCTTTGACTCTACTTAGATGGCTAGTTGTCAAAGATGATTGGGTAGATCAAATTTTATTCTATTTTATTTTAGTTATATTAAATCAGTATGGTAAGAAAGTTACACAATTATTCTATAATGAAAATGAATTTTATATATTCAATTTTTTGCTGAAAACTTTAATAGTTAACTTTAACTAGAGGCTCTACAGATATGAAACTTGGAAAATTCTAAAAAAGTTTCTTTTTTATTGTATTGATTGATTTATTTCTGGTAATTTTTGAAAAATGTTGAAGAATAATTAAATATTGCACCTTAAAATACTTCAATATGAGTGATTATTTGTTTAATATGTATGAATTAATATTCTTAATTGATCAAAACTAATGTAAGAATTACTACACTTTGGAATTTATAATAAATTCTGTTAAGTTTATGAATATATAGAAGATTTTTGAAAAATAGATTGTTTTTAAACAGAAATAATGTATTTGGTCTAGTATAAAATAAAGTCAAGTTAATAAATAAATGATTATTTATTTCTCTTTAGATTAGAGAAATTCGGTTGATACGAGACAAAGAAACAGACAGGTTTAAAGGTTTGTGTTAAATTTTGAAAATTTCATTAATCAGAAGTCATTAATTTTACAAATAATCTTTATGTGAGTTTAGAATTAATTTATTTTCTATAATAGATTTTAATAATGGGAGTACAAAAACAAAAAGTTTATTATAAGTTTCAAAATATTTTTCAGGTTTTTGCTATGTTGAATTTGAAGACTTAGAATCATTGAAATCAGCTCTTGAATTTGATGGTGCTGTAAGTATTTATTGTTATATGACAATATTTATATTTTTGAAATTTTTTTATATGTATGATAATTGAATAAATATTTTGATGCAATGATCGATCATTTTTTCTCCATCTAATTAATCTTAATTATAAATTTTCTTGTTAAAATATGGTGATAAAATTATCAGAATAATTATAGAAATTCAACAGTGCCTTATTAATGGATAATACATAAAATCATTTTTTTGAATAAATAAAAGGTTAGCATTTCATTTTTATGACTTGTAAATATTCTTGAAAAGTGCATAAATGTTAGAAGCCTTTTATGATCACACAATAGTTAAACCATATACTTCTGAAATTCTAATTTTATAAATTATGAAAATTATTTAGATGTACAATACCATATTTATTTATGCTAGTAAATACAGTAGTATGCTATATATAACTTTTTCATCTTGAAGCTGTTCTGTTTATTAGAATAAATATGGTAATAATTATTTATTATTGTGAATCAATTTTTATATTTTTTTCATAATCTATATATATACGATGCGTGTCTGGAAAGTAAGTACCGTTTCGTTCTACCGCCATTGCAGTGATAGTATCACAGTTCAGCACCTGCGCACACGTCTCTGGTTGATTGTCAGTCCAGTGACGCAATTACAGCCGGATTGTGTTGTTTTTCCACTGTTAGTGAGCGTTCAAAATGTTTAATTAAGACTATTGCCAATTTCACCAACTGTGAAGTGCATTCTGTAATACAGTTTTTGAACGCAAAGAATGTTAAGCCAGTTGAAATTCATCGCCAACTTGTAGAGATTTATGGTGAAAATGTAATGAATGATGGAATGGTTAGAAAGTGGGTTCGACAATTCAATGCTGAACGCACTGATGTTCATGACGAAGCATGGAGTGGCTGGCCTTCTGTTGTCAATGATGGTTTGGTTGCAAACATAAATGAAAAAATTCCTGAAAACAGATGGTTCACAATAAGATTGCTTTGTGATGAGTTTCCACAAATTTCAAATACTGTTTTGCATGAGATTGTTGCAACAATCAATGTTCAGCAGTGGCTGTCTTCACTGGAGGCATTTTTCTTTGAAGAGGGTATAGACAAGTTGGTTTCCCGATATGACAAATGTTTGAACAATGGTGGTAACTATGTAGAAAAATAGTTTCAGACATGCTCTTTCATGTAAAAATAAATTTTGTTTTCAAAAAATATTTTTTATGCGAGTTTTTCCAAAACAGTACTTACTTTCCGGACATGCCTCGTATAAAATTACATGTCCTGACTGACTGATTTATTATCGCCCAGAGCAAACTGCTGAACCTAGAGGTGAAATTTGGTACAGATAGGGTATGTCATGAAAATGCACACTAAGAAGGGATTTTTGGAAAATCCCCCATGGAGGGAGAGGATTGACCTATCCCATGTTGAAATTTTTCTGTGTTGCATGTGGTCGCCATGTTGAATTTTTGTCAATGTTAAGCTTAATGAAAGAAAACATTTTTCTTTTTAAATAATAATCATGGCTACTGTATCATTAAAAATTATTTTTTTATTTTGCACAAGCAAAATAAATGTATTAAAAAATATAAAAACAAAAAAATTATATTTTAAAAGTTGGTTTTAATATAAAAATGATGCATAGTGACATCTAGTATCAAAAACATACCAATACTTTAATGAGATATATTGGGTTTAACCTGGCGGGTCAAAGGTGACGACCCCGATATATGTCAGGAATAACAGGTGAGGTTAAGGCTTAACCTGAGGAATGCCTTCTACAGTACTATTTTACATGTGATTTTTTGTATTTGATAGTAATAACTTAATTTCCAAACAATATTTACCAAATCATTTGCCTGACACCAGGCTCATTTGCCTGACACCAGGCTCATTTGCTAGTTTAAAATAAAATCAGCTTTCTGATTATATCTGAAATATTATAGTAAATGAAATAAAAGTAGTATAATTTGCTTCTTGTTTGGAAAACTATGTAAATTTGTATTTGCCCATTAACCTATTGCGTGTTGAATATTTTCTCTGTTGCATGTCACGTCACGTTGAATTTTTTTCAATGTTAAGCCTAATGCGATCACACATTCTAGAAAAAAAATAATTGTGGCTATTGTATTGTTCCAAATTACTTTATATTTTACACACAAAATGGACATACCAGTAGACCCCTATAACACTGTTGATAATTCCGTTTTATATGAATTCCATGTTGTATGAGTCACTTAGATTTTACAAATACATGAGCCGTTCACAGCCTGGCACACGTATTTGTAAAATCTAAGTAACTCGTACAACATGGAATTCATATAAAATGGAATTATCAACAGTGTTATGGGGGGTCTACTGTATTAAGAAATGTAAAAACAAAAAATTTTATTTCAGAAGTTAGTTTTAGTGTGATAAATCTCAAAGCAAGGAACAATGCATAGTGTAATGGAACATTGTTCACACTGGTAACGTGATTCTATTTACTTTTTGTTTGCTGAACAGACTTTATAAACTCTTGTTGGATTTTTTTTTTCTGTTGACGGTATATGGCTAGGAAAATGCTGTTCGGATAAACGCAACTGATTTTCATGTGACGGTTGACCACGGTGGGTTACATGTCTGTTTGTGTGAAACTTTTCCATGACTTCTCTAATAACAGCCATATGAAAATCAAGAAATAACATCTGTTTTTTTGTTAGTTGTTGATACAAAACACAAGCATTATATAGTACAATATCCAGCATATGAAAAAACACTTTTATTATACCATTTCACAGTTTTTTTCATGCACGGATAATTATGTATCACTCCATCAAACAGATCAATTCCACCCATATTACGATTATAGTCTAAAATACAATTCAACTTCATAATTATTTCTCCTGATCTGTTACATCTGAGAATTCATTATTACTCATTGTACTTAGAATCGGCACATCCCTCTTATCTCTTCAACAAAATACAGACAAACCATCTTTTTGACATGTCATAAATTCATCTTCCTTCAATTTATGATCAGGAAAATTACATGGCATTCCAATTTGATTTTTGTTCACAGTTCCACATACATATGTTTGTTTATTGAGAAGTGTTTTTCTTTGTCAGTGAAGTGAAAAACCTGTCCAAAAAAACCTTGTAATTTTTATCAAACAACAGTTCTAATAATGTAAGTACAACTTTCTCACCTTGTCCACCTTCAAAATTGCCATATTCTGTTGTAGCTCCAATGTAAACTAAAATGTCCCAAACATATCTTGTTCATGACTCACAAATTTCAAACCTTTTTATTCCAAAATGAGCACACTTGCTAGTTATATACTGCCTAAATCCTAGTCTACCTTTCCATGACATAAGACTTTCATTTAAATATGCAACTTTATCTGGGATATAAGCATATTTGAATCTTTGGCAAAAATGATCGATAACACTGCATAATTTATGCAATTTATCATCACCATCTGACACTTGATCATTGTCTGTAAAATGCAGACATGACAATAAAAACAAAAATCGGTTGCTTGACATCACACTCAAAAAAAAATGGTGTAGAAAAACATCTTCATTTGTAAAATACATACTTAGGCGAGGTTTTCTAACAATACCTGTAATCATAACAAGGCCTAAAAATTCTGTAATTTCTGGATTTGTTGTAGGTTTCCAGTGTTTTATATGACTGTTTTTACATAAATCATCACATTTCATCAAAGTATCACCATACCTGTTTGTTTCTTGAACAATCTTGTCTACAAGTTCATCAAAAAATACATTGAAGCAGTCAAATGGTGTAGCATCATTTTGTAACTTACATTGTATTCCTGCTTGTCCTGTAAAACTGTTCACATGTAAAGTTCATACAGATCCAACCATCATCATTACTAAAGCATGGACATTTTGCACTACTATTGTAAGAACACTGATTGGGGGGAATTTTATTCCCTACCGTCGGGATGGTCTAAGGTCTACATGTATGTGGGTGGTGGTTTTATGAGGCAGCAAAAGACAAGTGTTTTACAGAGGCAATGATCGAAATTTCTTACATATTTTTAGAAAAAGGTCCTTTGATTGAAAACTTGAAGATGTCTTCGGTCCTATCGATTGGATGACTGATGTTTTTATTTGGTAAAGCTGGAGAGGAGCCCTGGGTGATGGCGAATTAAAGTTCAGAGGCGAACAGTCACAAGGTAGTGGCGATCGGAAGCACCAAGGGAGGACGACAAACACAACAGGTGTCTGGTGAAAGTCTTAGTAGAAGCCTCGTTGTCCTTGGAATTGGTGTTTTTATAAGTTTTTCGAGATCAGCTTTTTGCTAATTGGACAGACTTTACATCATCGCTTTCTAATTGGTCTTTCACCTGTCTCCAGGTGTAAATGGAGCTTCGTATAGTTTGTGGGAAAGGTCGGCTGAAGATGGTTTATCCGACACCATCTTTTAGACTCTGATCATGTTTAATTGTTGACTATGACACCTACGCTCATTTTGATATATTTTTAGTTTTGTTTTGCTTTCTAAACTGCGTCTTAACTTTAATATTTTAAATTTTCTTCTTTTATATCAAAAATTTTGTTTTTCCTTCTACTCTCGACATCAAAGTCCGGTGTCGCCGTTTTGACACTTATATAATTTGTTTTCTTGACGATTTAACTTAATAAATTTTTACATATCTTTCTTTTGGGGGGGTCTATTTCCGGGGCCTCACACTATTTCCACAAGCACAACCGTTTGATTGGCTTCTGTTTCCACTTGGAGTTGGTATTTCATGATCAATATCACTATTACTATAATTCACATTCTCACTTTGTAGAAATTCATCATTACTGTCTGATAATTCACTCATTGGAACCTAAATTAAAGAAATACTCGATCATTTCTGATTTATTCAGAGTGCTATTTCTCCCAGCTGTTGCCATGTCAAAACAGAGTCTAATACTGCATTCACACACAAACCACGACTCACTTCGATTTCGATTTACCTACAATCTGGATTGTGACTATCACCAGTCAAACATCGTGCTGTTTGCACAGGCAGTCCACTTGAGAAGAACACTGCTGTTACACGTAATGATAAAACTGACATAGCTATGCGGTAAGTCACAAACACCAACAAACAAAATGGAACTTTTGGTTAGAAATAAATACTTTTTCTTGCCATATATCTAATAATAGACAGATGCCATTGTCTCTCCAGATGTGTTTTTTATTTCTTTGCCAATAGCCCAACACGTGTTCTGCAGCCATCTTATATTTTCTTGTGCATGTGGGATCTCTTATGACTGGATCTAGTTTCAAGAACTCTCTTGAGTCAGTCGCGATTGAACCTTGTTTCAGTTGAAATTGAAACAGTTGAGAGAGGTTGCACCACGACATAGTCGCTGACCTTTGTCACTATCAAAATGCTTGATGTGAACTGGTATAATGGTCTAGTTTTCTTTTTTACTTCTTCTGAACATCTGCTATTATTGTAATATCCTGCTGCGTGAAAACTAGATAACATAATGGTTCTTTTGATATGAGTCACTAATTTTGGAATTTTGTACAAGTAGCGACATCTGATGTTAAAAAAAAAAAGCATTCCTAAGCAGAAACGAGATATCTCAGGTCCACCAGTCAAGGTGCTGACCTTGCAGCAGGTCTCAACCCAAGATATGTCAGGAATAACATGGGACAGGTTAATATGCCTCAAAACCTAAACTTATCATAATGACCACAAATGACTGTTTTATCATTTCATTTTTATTGATTCCAATATGCATTTTGGATGTATAAATTTGTTTATTTTCAGTTGGGTACAACAAAAGAAAAAAAAATTAAATAAAAGTAGCATTATAATTTGACTATTTTAACAATACAGACCATTTTGCTACTTTATTTTAATTAAAACTGTTTTGAAAATTTTGCAATATTGTGATAGAATTGAGGCAGAGCTGGAAAGAAAAAAGACAGCCCTTCCACTTATCACACCAGAAGAGGTGATCTTTGCACTTGGTGGTTGTAGACCAGGCCTGCCCAATTCATTTTGAAGGCAGGCTATAATTTCAATTACATGTCAGCCAACGGGCCACCTAGTAAATCATACTTGCTTACACTCATGATTCTTCTATAAATGGATAGGTATTTGAATCAAACAAAGCTTTAAGTTGCACATGTTTTAATAATACCTATAAAAAATACATCAATGAGACCTATGAAGGGGCTTATTAGCTAATAATTTTTCAATATTTGTGACAATAATTTAATTTTAATACACAAAAGTTGACTCAAAACTAATAGAACAAGTGTAATAAATGAGTAGGTTAGGTATTAACAGCGGTGCGGCAGTGACTCAAGTCATAGTTCATTCTGTGTTCGACCAATCACATGGCAGTTGGCATTATTGGTAGTATGACATCGCACATGGTGACAGCCAACTGCTACTGTGGGCAGGCAAATTCAAATGCGTTGGCGGTCCACAAAGTGGCCCACAGGCCTGGGTTTGGGCAGCCTTGTTGTAGACAGTTGAATCTTGCACTTACTGACATGGAGAGATGATACTATACGGTCATATATATATTGAAACTTGCATGTTTGAGGCAGTCTTAGTGAAGTTTCTTCTGTTACAGAATTGTTTGTTCTCAAAATTTGATCAATCAATTTTGATTAAACTTTGCCATTTTCCATTAATTGTGATGAGGAATCCAAAAATGTAATAATAAAAATAGAGATACATGACTTCATTTTTGAGATACAGTGGGGTCAAAGTAACAATGTTTATTCTTTTTACCTCTACTTTCTTGTTGTATGTTTCTGTGTGTATACTATCTACTTGGACTTTGTTTATTACTGAGACTTATTATACTGGTGTAGTTTCTGATTAGCAAATTACAATGATCATGCTCATTAATACAATTAAGTGCACCTAATGGAATTTAGGGAGCAAAAAAAAGAAATAGCATCATGCCTAATGGAAAATTTGTGCACAAACAAAACACAAGAACAAAGCAGTCAGTGCTGAGAAAATGTAAATATTGCCCAACAAGTGTAAGGATCACCATTTCTGTGGTCCAGCAAATGCAAGCTCACTCACTTGCACACATGCACACCCTTATATACACACATTCAAACAAATGTCAGTGCTCAGGTTAAAGGGAGTGAAAGATAATTTATATGTACTAAAACTAATTTAAAAATTTTTAATTACAAAAGTACAATGCTCTACCTCAATTCTCTCATGATATGACAGTCATGCTGTGTCCCTAGTTAAGATTAAGTAAACCTAATTTTAAATACCTAAATAATTCATTAATTTTTCAATTGTTTACTTTTAAAAGACATAGAGCTAATTTGGTTCAATAAAATTTTTATATTACTTAAATAGATAGTAAAGAAATGTATGTATATCAATTCAGTGTAGGGCCATTAAGCCGTGATGATTGGTGTCCAAACTGCATAACCGCAGATTAACTTTGTAGCATTGTAAGCTGTGAATTGGTTACAATGGCAGCCTCCATAATGCTGACACTCAGCATGGATAAAAGAGATTAATACTGTATTTAAATTTCATTGTAAGTTATTTTATTGTTTATTGATAAATAAAAGACTAATCTTCTATAAATACCTCTTTGAAGTTATAAGCCAGCATTTAAATATTTAATCTGCGATAGTGCATAGCATATCAATCACGGACATTCTAAATGCCAAAATGACAGCTGTCAACACCTGTCTTGAGTGTTTGAGAGGCCATTTCCAGGTCCATGCGATCCATAGTGTCAAAAAGTTGGGATCCAAGCTTTTTGCGCGGTTTAAGCAAATTCGCGGATTACTGGCCCATGACTAAATGGCTCTACACCGTATTAGTAATTTAAATAGAATTGGTTATTTTTTATATAAAATTTGGTATGAAAGAAAAAGTTTTAAAAATATAAAACATAAAAAAATTTTATTTTGAGTTAAAATACTCAGACATAACAAACTTTGAAGATCAAGAAACTACTGCAGCTAAAAATTTACAAATAAATTAATTTTATTTAACCTTCATAACTTTTCTCATGTGCATGTTGCCTCGTCAGTGGAATTACATCAACTATTTCACATTGGCATTTGTGAATTTTTAGCTATCATAGTATCTTGGTCCTCAAAGTTTGTTGTGCCTGAGTATTTTAACTTGAAAAAGAAATTTTTTATATTATATTTTTGTTTAAAAAATTTTTTTATATACCAAAGTTTATATATATATATATTATATACATATATANTTTGTATACACTTCAGAAGTGTCTTGTAACTGATTGTCATATAAAGCAACTTTATTTTGTTTGTTTTTGCATTATTTTCACCAAATTAATGGTGATAAATGAATTATCAGTACTTTTGAACAACCTATAATTAAAAAAATATATTATTTATGTAATATTTGAATTGAGAAATTTAGAAGTTATAGAGGAGAAAGCTGAAAAGTTTCGTGTGTACAGTATGTGAATTGTGTAAAAGTGAAAGTGAAACTAAAACCTGGCACTACATAACTAAAGCAACTACAGGAGGAATTTGAAAAAGCCATTCTTTGTTATGGTATTGGTTTTGTTAATAAAAAAAATAGCCATTGTGTGTATTAATAGTTAGAACTGCCCCTGTGTATCCAAAGTAATCATTTGCCACCTGTGACAACAAATCCACATCTATCAATCCCATGTGAAACTACTATAATTTTAAATTTGTGGATTTTAACATGTGTAAGGTTTCATGCCAATATGTTGTTGGAAAATGAAGTTAAACCTTTTATAATTACAAATCAAAACTACACAAATATTTTTTATAATTAAAAAAATTAATAATTTGTATTTACGTTTTTATTCAAATTTTTGTTACATTTTATCATAAAGTGGACATTCATTCATTCATTCGTTGGACACAAATTGTTTGAATATAAATAAAAATAGTGCTCTTCAAATTGTATGCTTTAACATGTGTTTTCTTATTTATTCAAAATATATTGTTGAGTAAAATGCTCTTACGTAAATAGTATTAAGGATAGTTTATTAATTTCTTGAATGTAATAATCATACTATTATTTAAATTTGATTGCAACATTATCTAATTTATATAGGAATGTAATTTGCTCTTATTAATAATCTCATCATTTTTCTTTCTTTTAAAATTTTCTCTAATTTCATTCTAAAATCATAAAACTTGATTTTAGAAAAAATTGTAGAAATGAATTCATTTTTTTAGTTTTCATCAAAATATAATTTTCTTATTTAAAATTTCTTTCAATTATTTAAAAGTTATTACATTCATATATCATTTTGATTTCTGTAGACAAGAGAGTGGAATATTTGGCTCTCTGGCATGTAGTCGTGTAAAATGATATAATTTATAGCTTTACAATTAAAAGATTTTTTAAACATCTTAACACTGCTTCATTTAAATTATAAATATTACAAATTTATATTTAATAATTTATATTTTATTATAATAATAGCAATTTGGTGAAAGGAGTCTTCGTGTAGATGTTGCAGAAGGCAAGCGAGAAAAAGGAGGATTTTCAAATCGAGGAAGAGAAGGTAAGCTAGATTTATAATATCGTGGAAGCCTGAAATCCACAGAATGATGAATTTCCATGTGGTAAGATAAAACTTTTAGCTATAGTAAAAAATTTGTTGTTGAACTTATTCTGTTAAATTTAAAACAGCATTAATTGGCTAAAATTTGTAAACAAACAAATTTTAACTGATTAATACTGTTAAAGCTTATTAGTATCCGCTATTTTCATTATCACTTAGTATTCATTTCATTTTTGAAATTTATTTTTGAATTTTTATTTAAATCAGTATTGTTAATTGATGATTCTTTCAAGATTGGCACTTTAAGAATTACCAAAATATTAGAACAACTGTCTTACCAGTTATAATTTTTTACCATTACTCAAAGGCTCAATTTTGTAGTGCATTTAAAAAATAAATAATATAATATCATCATAATTTAAATTCATTTATATTATTTTGCTTAATGTAATGATATGATTTATCATCAGAAATAATTATGAAAGTAAATGGTGGAAATTAAAATAGTATTGTATTGCTTCTTTCAGAAATTAATAGCATTAGCTATTGAATAATCATATGTGTATTATAAGGAACAAAATGAAATAAATAAATATTAAAAGTTATGTAAGATGTTCAAATCATTTTAAAATTTTGTTTTCAGAAGCAAATTCTTTTTATGAATGGAAAAAAAGAGTTTATATGAAGAGAATTTACATTCAGACATGTAATACAACATCTAAAAACATTAAAGTACAAAAAATTTCAGATATATTTTTAAAAAATTATATTGGTAATTTTTTAAAGTGTTAACAAGTTTTTTAGACAGATGTTATAGCTTACAACACAATACTTAGATACAATATGTACTCATTTTCATATTTTATTCAGTTATAGAATTATATGTATAAGTTGTAAATTTATAAAAACAATTTTCAAGAATATTTTCTAATGAAAACTTAGATTTCTTCACCAGTGAAACTGAGTAATCAGACTTTAATTGTTTATTTTTATTTTCAAAGTAGAAAACTTAATAATTAGATATAATTTAGTGAAATTTGAGTAATAATTTTTAAAATTTATTTTAATAACTTTTTAAATAATTACCGTCACTGTCTCTGGTCTTTTGTCTCTCACAAGCCGGTCGCTGATTGGCTAATCATTTGGATTAGCCAATCAGCGATCTACTCGTGAGAGACATGAGACCAGAGACAGTCCCATGCAGAGAACGGCCTCAGCATTTCAAGAAGTGGCCAGAAAAGATTCTGAAACAAATGTTTATCTTAGAATGTGCTAGTGCTTCAAGAAATGGCTAGCAACTTCTTGAAATGACAAATTTCAGCATGTAACTATGACTTACATTTGTTGAGATAAAATCTATTTTTATCAGTGATAGCTGTAAGGAAGTAATACACTTTGTTCTTCAAGAATTTTCAGAGAAAAAAATTGGGAGTTCTTGGAGATGTTTATAAAATGATATTAAAACTATCCAGTTTTTATTGCAATGCTATTTTTTAGTTGATTAGAAATTGATTAACAAATTTGACAGTTAAGATAAACATTTTTATCATTTCATGATAATTTTAAGGAAGAATAATTGCAATACTTATTTTATATAATTTAAATCAGTACTTCAAGGATCATATTTATTATTCATGCAGAAGAGGGCATGTGCACTAAGACACCTATTGACCACAAAGTTACAAGTGGTATGGGTTATTATAAAAAATGCATTTCAAACATAAATTCAGAATTTTTAATTAATTGATAAAGCATTGACTAATTTGTGAGAATGCAAGTTCTTATCTCAAATTGGTAAAACATAATTCAATATAATTAAATTGTTTGTTTTTGTAATAATTGCAAAAAATATTCTTAATACTTTATTATATATTAGGATTTGGCAATAAACGTTTTGGTGAAACACGTCGTGGTGGTGGTGGAGGAGGAGGAGGAGGATTTCGTGGTGGGTTTAGTGAACGTGAAAGAGGAAGCTTTCCAGAAAGAGATTTTGACAGAGGGCAACGAGGAGGTGCTTTTTCAGGCAGGTCAGGGCCACCTGCAAGAAAACCTTATGCAGTGGAGGAGTTCAAAGATGTTGCACCAGGTATGTGTTAACATCAGGGTTCCTCATATATGAATCTGACGATTTGATTTTAAAATTTGTCATCAGATTTTAAGACTGAAAATTATATATACCATATACGAACATATACACAAATACGTACTCAAGTGCCAGCATCATATGCATTATCAAATAGGTATAAATTTTGAATGAATGATTTTCAAAATATTCATATTATATATTGAATTTTATATACTATGTAATTTGTAGTAGTTTTTACTTACAAAATTTTATTTCAAAACGATTTCAAAATAATAAAATTAAAGTTGTTTTGTTTAGAGAATGTAGTTACATCAAGCTCAAATATTTTCAAGTACTTTCAGACTNTCTCTACACGATGTTCAAAAGATATACAAAACAATACAGAAATTACGCGAAGTGAATAATGTATATCTTGCTATATTACCTCTGAGATATACGATATACTTGTAACAGATCAAATATACTTTTGTATATCTGTATAACTTTTGTATATCTACATATCTATTTGTATATCTGTGTTTATGTTTATATATATATATATATATATATAAATAAACAAACAATCAAATCGAATAAATCTGACAGTTAATTTGATTTGGTAAAGCATTTCAGTGATTTCAGGATAAAGCTTATCTTCAAGAAAAAGAGGAAAGAACTTATCTTTCAAATTTTGTTCTTGAAAATGAGCTTTAGTCTGAAAGTACTTGAAAATATTTGAGCTTGATGTAACTATGTTCTCTAAACAAAACAACTTTATTATTTTGAAATTGTTTTGAAATAAAATTTTGTATACACTTCAGAAGTGTCTTGTAACTGATTGTCATATAAAGCAACTTTATTTTGTTTGTTTTTGCATTATTTTCACCAAATTAATGGTGATAAATGAATTATCAGTACTTTTGAACAACCTATAATTAAAAAAAAATATTATTTATGTAATATTTGAATTGAGAAATTTAGAAGTTATAGAGGAGAAAGCTGAAAAGTTTCGTGTGTACAGTATGTGAATTGTGTAAAAGTGAAAGTGAAACTAAAACCTGGCACTACATAACTAAAGCAACTACAGGAGGAATTTGAAAAAGCCATTCTTTGTTATGGTATTGGTTTTGTTAATAAAAAAAATAGCCATTGTGTGCATTAATAGTTAGAACTGCCCCTGTGTATCCAAAGTAATCATTTGCCACCTGTGACAACAAATCCACATCTATCAATCCCATGTGAAACTACTATAATTTTAAATTTGTGGATTTTAACATGTGTAAGGTTTCATGCCACTGTGTCACATGTTGGTTTGTCTCATGACAATGTTTGGCCAGAGTGGTAAGCCTTGTTAATTGTTTGTTTTTGTATATCTTCTTTGAAAAGCGTTGCAGTGACATATAGATCCTGGGTAGAAGAGATAATGTTCAACTGGTTAGCAAGAAAAACTCCATTTATTAAAGTCATTAAAAGTATTGTTTTATACGTGCTTTTTTTACCATGTCTGCATGACATGGTAAAAAAGAGCATGGTAAAAGAGCATGCAGGCAGAGAGAAATTTACACACTGTTATAATTGCTTAAAGTTGTCAGCAGGTAAATGGGTTGTTGATCTTTCCTTCTCTTTGTTGTCTATTTCTGGGAGTTCCTGTTTGTTCTTGGTTCGTAAATCTTGTTAGTGACTCCCAAACTTTGTTAGTGCACTCTAGTCCACAAACTCACTGTCCTAACACATTCGTAAAGATCACTAAACTATCTTAAGGACTTTGAAATACTGAACTTTTAATTTTGGTCCATCTAATCACTTGGATGACCAGTGCATGTTCATTCAATTGCTTGAATGGGTCAAGGTGATAATTAGTTTGATCGTCTTGTGAGAATATATTCTTTGTGTGAGCATTGTATTGTAATTGTTGATGGAAAAGTGTCACTGTTTGTGCAAACAGTGCAAACTTTTTCTTACTGTAATGATTAGGATCTCACAGTTGTGTGTTTTATTATTATTAGAAAAATTGTTTGAAACAAAAGTTGCAAAATGTTACTTCAAAGAAGTCATGACATTTTATTTTAGATAAATTTGTAAAATTTGCAACTAATATTATAGATAAATTTAATATTCAAATAATAAGAAAAAATTTATATTTTTTAAAAATTTACTGAAACAAGAACAATGATATGTTATTAAAATTATGTAATTTATAATTTTAATCTTAGAATATAATCTTAATTATTTAATAATTTATTTTTTAATTTGCAAAATAAGATAATCATGTTTAAAATAAAAGAATATTACTGAAAACAGTTTGATTTCAATTTGTGAAAGAAATGTTTAAAATTAATTGGAAATTCTTTGATGTAAATTTTATTCTTACACACACAAAAGCAGATGATGGTGGACACAGGCCAAGATTGAAACTTTTACCCAGAACTGTTTCTGCTCCAGTTAATGATGTAGCAGAGACATCTGATAGAGCGAGTATTTTTGGAGGTGCTCGACCTAGAGATGAGAAACAATATGAAGAAAGGCGGAGAAAAGAATCTGAAGGAAAAGGTAAGATACTTAATCTATTGAAGAAACTAATTTAAATAATAGATGTTCAGATGTTTGCCTATATTATCACGTTAAAAAATATAACAACAATAATCAAATATTTTCTATTTTTGTGTTTACAGTATTAAATTTTATTTTACTTGAAATTTAACTTCAAGACATGGTGCTTTTGCATTATCAGTTTTAATGTTGATATTTTTTTTAAATGATTTAATTTTTTATTTTAGATGTATTAAGGGGGAAAAATACAAATTTTCAAAATACAATACAATATAATTGATGCTAAAAATTGCATAATTTTATATTTTTAAAATATAATGTAAATTGAAAGAAATTCAGATATACAGAGTGATTCAAAAGCAGTAGATAAAACTTAATGACATAATCAATGATTCAGTTTACAGTAAAAAATGTTAATACACCCTCTACGAGGGCTGTTCGGAAAGTTTACAGCCTCAAATAGAACAACAAACAAAATAATGTTAAAACATTTTTTATTTTTCAATGTAGTCTCCTTTTTCAATGTAGCACTTATTCCAGCGATGTTCTAGCTTTTTTATGCCATCACAATAGGTCGATTTGTCAAGGTGTGCAAAATACTCATTCACTTCAGAGATGAGTGGAATCCCTTTCCAGCCAAGAATTTTTTTAGGTTTGGAAAAAGGTGGAAGTCACTGGGAGCCAAATCAGGTAAGTATGGTGGATGTGGAACTAATTGGAAGCAAAGTTCGTTTATCTTTTGTTCAGTGATTCTGGCAGAATGTGCAGGTGCATTATCGTGGTGAAACAGAACCTTTTTCTTGTGTAGCCTCTTTTCTTCAATTTCTTTCTTCAGTTTTTCCAAAAGTTCACAGTAATAGACAGCATTAATGGTCTTTCCTCTTTCTAGGTAGTCAATAAAGATGATGCTTTTAGCATCCCAAAAAACCGAGGCCATCACTTTCCCCGCTGATGGAACTGTCTTTGCCTTCTTTGGTGGTGGCAAACTGTGGTGTTTCCATTGCTTCAACTGTTCTTTTGTTTCAGGAGTGTAGTAATGGATCCACATTTCGTCAGTAGTCACAAACCGACACAAGCAATCCTGTGGGTTTTTCTGGTAGAAGTCTAAACACTTCTTTGACATCAAAGTGTGAACACGTTTTTGCTCAGCGGTCAGCAGACGCGGCACCCACCTTGCTGAGACCTTCGTCATACCCAAATTTTCAGTTAGGATGTGGTGCACTCGGTCAACAGAGATGCCTGTTGTCTCAGCTATCTCACACGTTTTCAAACGGTGATCTGCTAATACCAAATCGTGAACTTTGTTGATATTTTCTTCAATGACAGCAGTTGACGGTCATCCACTGCGAGGGTCATCTTCCACACTCTCTCTGCCTGATTTAAAAAGGGCTGTCCCATTTTTTCACAGTGGTGTACGAAGGAGCAGACTCTCCCAAAACTTCATTCATGTCAGCTTTGATTTGAGATGGGGTCAACCCTTTTTTTCTCAGGTATTTTATGACCGCACGAGTCTCCGTCTTCTCCATTTTTGACAAAGCATGTGCACACTGACTATCTGCTAAGCTGTTGTGGCAAAACTTTATGACAAATCAAGTGGAAATTGGTATCGTATCTCTAGCAAAGATGTCTGAATTATTCCCACCAAAAATTAAATTGATCGCAGCGCTGCATATAGGCAAGGCCACGAACTTTCCAAACAGCCCTCGTATTCAATTCTCAAAGATAACTGAATTACAGAAAAAATCTTTGTCAAATCATTCACAGTTTAAGTTTAGTTTAGCACTGAAAAACAACAAAATAAATAATGTTGAACAATGTTGTGTGTGTTTCTATTATCTATGGGTATAAAGTGTGTATCTAGTGAAAGCAATCACTTTGAACATCACTTGTAAATTTAATTTTTCATATTTATTAACTAAATTAACTTGTTTCTAAACTAACAAATAGGGAACTGATTTGAAATAAAGATTTTTCTCTGTAATTCTGTTATTTTTGAGACTCAAACAGGGGTGTATTAACATTTTTTACTGTAAATTAAATAAGTGATCATCCCATAGATTTTATCCACCACTTTTGAATCAATCTATATATAAAATTAACAAAATTTTCATTAATTATTCAAAAAATAAATGAATAAAATAGAAATAAGTGCACTTAAAATTTTGAATCTATTACTGGAGGCAAATTAGAAAATCTGAAAATGGCAAACTCTGTAGATAATATTTTGTATATTAATACATTTCACAGATTTTCAGATTTAATCATATTTCTGGACAAGTCATATGTAGTTTATTTCATTCTGTCTGACTGTTAAATTTTCGTTAAGACCTTACATTATTTCTTCCTCTTGCAATAGCTTATTTATGTTCTTTCATATGAATCTATATTGCTTTATTACTTCTATATTTTCAATTTCTTTATTATTGTTTAAATTTAGAAGAATTAATCAATAGCAGTAGATGGGATAAGATTTTCATTTACCTATTTCCATTCACTTGTCTATTATTGCAGATGATGATCGTTTTAATTTCTGTTTTTATCTTGATTTTGATAATAATTTGTAATTGTTTAAATATTTCATTTTTTCTGATTTTAGATAACCAATTTCTGATTTAGTAAAATAGATTATTAATAAATCATGATTACATTTTATTGATTCCATCCATTGGACTGATTCAGTCTTCTTGCAAAGATTTTGATTATAATGTGTGTTTGTGATTCAAGATTGATATTGATGTTTCCTTACAGATTCAAAATACAAGCACAAAGTTGAAATTATTTGTTTTAATGGTTATTGTTAACAATATAGGTTACTTCTGATTGCTGTTTTTGCATTTTTGATGCTCTAATAGTGCTATCAAGATTGCATCATGAGATATCATATCAAATGAAAAAATCCAAAAACTGGATGCATTTAATACCAAAAAACGTTAAATCCAGTAAAAATAGAATGTTTATTAACAGAATGAACATTTTTAACCATGTACAATAACAATCTTAGGTTCTAGAATGAAATACAGTGGTGCTTTGTATAATGTAAACCTCGAATAACAGATTTTCTGTTTGGCTGTTACATGGCTCGAGCAACGGACTGGCTACAAACAACAGACTTTCCATTCGGCAGTTACGTGAGGCGAACAAGTGCAAATGATGTTTCCACTCTTTTGATGTTGCCAATGACAATCTGCTATTTTTATAATATATTAGTATTATATTAGAATATATTATTAGTATATCTGAAGTACAGAGTTCCCGTTGGGAATCAGCTTGCTCCCTTGTTTATTACGTACAGTACATCACCTCAGTGCAGGGTATTTAGATTTATTCAAGTGTTGTGCAAATCATGGCTTCTAAAAAAACAGAAAGGTGATTTCAATTGAAACAAAGCAAGAAATCATCAGAAGGAGTGAAAGTTGACAAAAACTTCCTTGTCAAATAGGGAGAGGTTCAGGAGTTTACTAACACTCATTATCCAAACACAGCTGAGGCCAACAGAATCAATGATCTCTACAATGACACCCTTACCGTCATTTCCAACAGGTGTTGAAGAAGAGAGAGAAACAGACACCTTGGACAAGTTTTTCAAGAAGCCAGCTGCCAAAAAACAAAGGATGGAACAAGAGGAGTTGACCNAAGTGTTGTTTGTGGGATAAGGTTGTTGTGTATAATTGTTCTTTTTTGATCGACAACAAACCTTTGTTTGGTGACAGTGAGGTGAGGATATTGTTGTGTGAATCTATGGTGTAGTTGTTGTCTGTATGCTGTCATGTTTGTTTCGAGTCTTGTGATAGTGTAGTAAGTATGGATGATAAACTCGTTCATTTCTATTGTCCATTTCATCCGTTGGTGTGGTTTTCTAGTTTTTGTGGTCTGTAAATGCATTGCCACAGAAACACCAAGGCTAGGTTTGTTCCTCACATCTGTTGAGGGTATTGCAGTAGCCATGCTTGGGCTGGCGCTGCTTTCGCCACCAGTAACCAAGGGAGACTGTGGCCTATTTTTTGAATGTGAGTCTCTGCCTAACCCACGAATGTGGACCTTGTTAACCCAGGCGTCCGAGCCGGTATCACACTTTGATCTGGTTACTACCATGATAAATATCTCCACAGAATGTGGGTATGGTCATTCTTAGCTTCATTTCTCCCCATAGACCTTACTGGCATGGGTGTCCCTACCAGGAGCTTATTCTCCAGCCTGCATTGTTCTATGGTTCAGTAAAATTACTGGACTCTCCCATCACGACCAGGTGGTGACCACGGGAAAGTTGTTATTATTATTAATTTATACTAAAAATGAATTTTTAAATTTTATAATAGTTTTAAATAATTGTGTTGATTTATTTTCAGATGAGTGAACATAAACATGAATAAAAAATCCTAATACAGATCATAACGTAAGTATTTATATTTGACTATTAACTTTATAATAACAGATTATGAACTTAAATATATTTTAAAATTATCTTGTGTGTCACAAATATATAGAATTTGTCCTTATAAAAGAGAGTCATTTAAATTAATTGAATTTTGAAATTCATAATATTTAAATTATAAACTTTTTTCATAATTTTAAACTATTCCAGGTCACAACCTAATGACTTTGACCTGTGGACCCAAGATATCTTGTTTCAGCATCACAACATTTTTGAAACTAGATATTGCCAGTCTTTATAATTTTTATATTAAAACTGACTTCCGAAATATAATTTTTTTTGTTTTTACATTTATTAATATATCTATTTTGTTTGTGCAAAATAGATATATTAATACAATAGCCAAGATACAATAGTCAAGATTATTTTTTTCAAAAATGTGTAATTTTCGTTAGGCTTAACACCAACAAAAATTCAAAATGTCGCAACACATTATGAGAAAATTTTCAACATAGAATAGGTTAAATTAAAATATACATTTTAATATAATATTAATGAAAAAAGTTTATTTTTGGAGTATATTTAACATGCATTCTTTTTAGAAAAATAATTAATAGTTATATTATTTAAAAATTATATTATGTAAATTTACTGAAATGTAAAATTTATACACTAATCATGTTAACATTTTATTCAGAATACAATTCATATATAATGCAAGTTTTACTTGTATGAATAAAATATATTAAAAGATTTATTATTTAAAATTAATCATGTTAGGAATATTATGAATAGTGTTTTAGCTGTTGTTTAATGAATTTTTTAAGTTCAGTTAAATAATTTTTTACTGTCCTCATTAATACAGTACATATAACTATGGCCAACCTCAAATCTACAAAGCCTAAAGAACTCTGTCTTTTAGATATTTGGTATTCATTAATCATGAGACAAATGGAAGTGTGCAAACTGCTAAACATATATATTCTTGTCCTTGTTTTAAAATTTAATAATTTACCAATAAATTATATCTGACAAATTTTGATCTAACAAATATTCAGACATAATCACTTTAGAAGTTGTATTTCTTTAAAGAAATACAGATATTACTAAATTTTCTTTCGAAACCTGGTGGTTAAATTTTTAAGAACATAATATTGCATGTTTATAATTTTATGTACAAAACTGTTTTCTCAGTGCAGTCACAAAAGCAATATAATAGTCAGCACAATTGTTTATACGAATGTCTAAGCTAACAAATAGAAAACAAACCTGATTTTTATTGAAAGTAAGAAGATATTTGGTTTATTAATGAGACAAGCATGGCAAAATATCTTGCTTGTCTTCAGACCAGAAATTTTTTTCCAGTGCTCAGATGAATGGACTATATATATATATATATATATATATAGTAGTAGACCGCCCTATAATGCAGAGATACGTTCTTCGTTATACGAATTTCGCATTGTAGGAATCCTTAAATATGTGAGCCAGTCACAGCCCAACATGTGTGAAGTTTACAGACTATGGCTGTTTGAAAGGTTTTCTTCCATAAAATTAATCGATTCTAGACTAATTCGACTTAACATTTCCAAAACACGTATAATTTTTTGGGAATAATCCGTATAAACTANTCGTCAGGTATTTTATGACCGCACGAGTCTCCGTCTTCTCCATTTTTGACAAAGCATGTGCACACTGACTATCTGCTAAGCTGTTGTGGCAAAACTTTATGACAAATCAAGTGGAAATTGGTATCGTATCTCTAGCAAAGATGTCTGAATTATTCCCACCAAAAATTAAATTGATCGCAGCGCTGCATATAGGCAAGGCCACGAACTTTCCAAACAGCCCTCGTATTCAATTCTCAAAGATAACTGAATTACAGAAAAAATCTTTGTCAAATCATTCACAGTTTAAGTTTAGTTTAGCACTGAAAAACAACAAAATAAATAATGTTGAACAATGTTGTGTGTGTTTCTATTATCTATGGGTATAAAGTGTGTATCTAGTGAAAGCAATCACTTTGAACATCACTTGTAAATTTAATTTTTCATATTTATTAACTAAATTAACTTGTTTCTAAACTAACAAATAGGGAACTGATTTGAAATAAAGATTTTTCTCTGTAATTCTGTTATTTTTGAGACTCAAACAGGGGTGTATTAACATTTTTTACTGTAAATTAAATAAGTGATCATCCCATAGATTTTATCCACCACTTTTGAATCAATCTATATATAAAATTAACAAAATTTTCATTAATTATTCAAAAAATAAATGAATAAAATAGAAATAAGTGCACTTAAAATTTTGAATCTATTACTGGAGGCAAATTAGAAAATCTGAAAATGGCAAACTCTGTAGATAATATTTTGTATATTAATACATTTCACAGATTTTCAGATTTAATCATATTTCTGGACAAGTCATCTGTAGTTTATTTCATTCTGTCTGACTGTTAAATTTTCGTTAAGACCTTACATTATTTCTTCCTCTTGCAATAGCTTATTTATGTTCTTTCATATGAATCTATATTGCTTTATTACTTCTATATTTTCAATTTCTTTATTATTGTTTAAATTTAGAAGAAACTAATTAATCAATAGCAGTAGATGGGATAAGATTTTCATTTACCTATTTCCATTCACTTGTCTATTATTGCAGATGATGATCGTTTTAATTTCTGTTTTTATCTTGATTTTGATAATAATTTGTAATTGTTTAAATATTTCATTTTTTCTGATTTTAGATAACCAATTTCTGATTTAGTAAAATAGATTATTAATAAATCATGATTACATTTTATTGATTCCATCCATTGGACTGATTCAGTCTTCTTGCAAAGATTTTGATTATAATGTGTGTTTGTGATTCAAGATTGATATTGATGTTTCCTTACAGATTCAAAATACAAGCACAAAGTTGAAATTATTTGTTTTAATGGTTATTGTTAACAATATAGGTTACTTCTGATTGCTGTTTTTGCATTTTTGATGCTCTAATAGTGCTATCAAGATTGCATCATGAGATATCATATCAAATGAAAAAATCCAAAAACTGGATGCATTTAATACCAAAAAACGTTAAATCCAGTAAAAATAGAATGTTTATTAACAGAATGAACATTTTTAACCATGTACAATAACAATCTTAGGTTCTAGAATGAAATACAGTGGTGCTTTGTATAATGTAAACCTCGAATAACAGATTTTCTGTTTGGCTGTTACATGGCTCGAGCAACGGACTGGCTACAAACAACAGACTTTCCATTCGGCAGTTACGTGAGGCGAACAAGTGCAAATGATGTTTCCACTCTTTTGATGTTGCCAATGACAATCTGCTATTTTTATAATATATTAGTATTATATTAGAATATATTATTAGTATATCTGAAGTACAGAGTTCCCGTTGGGAATCAGCTTGCTCCCTTGTTTATTACGTACAGTACATCACCTCAGTGCAGGGTATTTAGATTTATTCAAGTGTTGTGCAAATCATGGCTTCTAAAAAAACAGAAAGGTGATTTCAATTGAAACAAAGCAAGAAATCATCAGAAGGAGTGAAAGTTGACAAAAACTTCCTTGTCAAATAGGGAGAGGTTCAGGAGTTTACTAACACTCATTATCCAAACACAGCTGAGGCCAACAGAATCAATGATCTCTACAATGACACCCTTACCGTCATTTCCAACAGGTGTTGAAGAAGAGAGAGAAACAGACACCTTGGACAAGTTTTTCAAGAAGCCAGCTGCCAAAAAACAAAGGATGGAACAAGAGGAGTTGATCCTGCAAGTTCTGGTAGTCTCTCCTGAATTGGACTCTGATTAAAAAAACAATAAAAAGAGACCTGCTGCAATGTGTAAAAAGTCTGTATCTGTATGAATGTGTGAAGAAAGTGTTCCTCCACCTCCTCCTCACAACATCTGACTTCTGGGCATAATTGGTGACTGCTTCATTATTATTTTTTTTATGGTACAGTACGGTTATTTTATGCTGCGGAACAAATTATATGTTTTAACATGTATTTCTATGGGAAAATGCATTTGTATAACGGACGTGCACCTGGAATGGATTAAGTGTGTTATACAAAGCACCACTGTACAATAAATAGAATGGGAAGTACATTTGAAATTAAAAACATTCAAAAATTACAAATTTACATAGTGTCACGAGCATAGGAGCATAAACATATTAAATAAAATTAAGAAAATAGGAATAAATAATTAACAAGAAAAATATTAAGTACAAAATAAAATAATTAAATTAATACAGCAATATATACAAATATTATGAGTAAAAACATAAATATAGCAAATTGGTGATAAACAAAACTATAAAACATCAAATAATGCTCTCTAAGCATGTGACAGAATCTTTAAAGTTAATTGTGATCCCTTATTAGCCTTTAAAAGATTCTGCAGAGGTGTCACGTGTGTATTTGAATTTATGTTCAGCAAATCAATTTTCATTGTTATAATAAAAATCTCATAGATAAATACAATTGCATCAGATAATGAAATGTGAAAATCAGACATGAAGATTCTTGCATATTTGAATTTCTTGACTGTTGATTTGCTATATAATTATGCAGCTCTGAAAGTCGTTATTTTATTTTTTACTGTTGTCCTTCCATTGGCATCACTCTATTCAGTGTTCTGTGCCGTCACATGGTGAAAGGTGTGACATGAACTTTTATATATTCTATTAATTTCAAGTTTTATACATATATTTTTACCACAGTTGCTGTGTTTCTTATGCTTGTATTTCATTCTCTGCCACGGCACTGATGAAATAAGATGATGATTGTTTATTCTTTATTACAAACCATGCATTTTTATGTATTCTAAGAAATTAAATGTAAAATAAATTTGCTCACAGGTGTTGATGTCTGTTTAATAATAATAATAGGTTAATGGCATTATGTAATTCTATTAATAGTATCATATGATACGTTTTTGAGGGGAATAACATTTTGGTGTGTTGCAAGTAAAAAAGGTTGCAGAACACTGCTCTATTCTATTA